ATAAATTAAATTTATATAATTATATAATAAATATAAAATCAAAAGCATTATAACCGACAAATAAAATTGGTCCAATGATAAATCTTCTAGAGATATATTGGATTGAGATTTTAAAAAATTATAATGGATTATTTTTTGATAAAAAAATCCATTGGTATTCAATTATGATTTTAAAGGATTGAAAAGAAACGTCACGTTGTATTCGATTAGGATTTTAAAATATTATTTTAGAGTTCATTCAAATCCGTTGGCATTCAATCATAATTTTAACAAAAGAAAAAAAAAATCTTGTGGTATTCAAAAATCTGACGATTTTAATGAATTTTCTATTAGTGAGACTTCGTGAGATTTTTTTGTGAGAAATATAAATAGGATGTCTCTTGCACAATCTCATCCTAAACCCTAGGATTTCTTGAGATTTCTATATTGCAGTGTCTTCTTAAAATTTCCCCATAAACATTGGTGTATTGGATTAAGATTTTAAAGGATTTAAATGGATTATTTTTGGACAAAAAAATCCATTGGTATTCAATTAGGATTTTAAAAGATTGAAAAAAAAGTTATGCGGCGTTCAATTAGGATTTTGAAAAATTATTTTAGAGTCCGTCCAAATCCGATGGTATTCAATCAGGATTTTAAATAAGGGGTAGGATATATTTACCACCAAAAATATTTACCACCTTTACAACCAATCTAATCACCGTTGATTTCGGTCAATCTAACGGTTATAATTTATTGAAAATTATGGGTTGTACTTATTAATTCTGCATAAATTATAACCGTTAGATTAGCGGAAATCAACGGTGACTAGATTGGTTGTAAAGGTGGTAAATATTTTTGTGGTAAATATATCTTGCCCCATATATATATATATATAAAGAGAGAGAGTGCTTGCACCGAATTATTACGATTTTTAATATGTATCATGCCAAACACGAAGAATATTAGGATTTTATACTCATTATAATCCAAACAATATACAAAAGAAGAAGGTCGACGAAGAATGTATGTGGTAAGCTTATTAGTTCAATTTCAAATTGAAGACGTGAGCATATACATGTTTATCTCAACTCTATACAACTCTGGTAAAAAAGTAAAATAATGAAGCACATCATTAATCATGAAGCACATCATTAATCATGAAGGAGGAATACCAAAACCTGAGAAAATATATGAGAGTAAAAAAAGAACATACCTTGACTTTGAGAAAAGGCTAGAGTAGATTGTGAGACACTGCAATAGAGAAATCCCAAGAAATTATAGGGATTATGGTGAGATTTTAAGAGAGACATCCTATTTATATTTTCCACTAAAGAGTTTCACGAAATTCACATCAATAGAAAATCCATTAAAATTATCGGATTTTTGAATACCACAAGATTATTTTTTCTTATATTTAAAGGGGCAGGACATACTTACCACAAAAAATGTTTACCACCTTTACAACTAATCTAATATAGGGATTTACATTTCTGCAGCTGCTGTACGTGCAGCAATCAAATACTTGCCATATATATATATAGTCAAATAATTTCTGCAGCCGCTTTACGTACAGCAACGACAGGTGTATGGTTATGATTCCCCACATTTAATGCTTTCATCCTTTCTATAATTATGATTCCCCGCATTTAATGCTTTCAAGTATATATATAGCAAGTATTTGATTGTTGCACGTACAGCAGCTGCAGAAATATAAACCCCTATATATATATATATATATATATATATATATGTATATAGACACACACACACATACATATTTAATGAGCATCATCTTCAATTTGTATATGTATCTGATCTCAATTGGAGACAACAATATATGTGCTCTATTAAATAATAATTTTTTTTTTAGTTTTCATACTTATTTTATATGTATTGTATATATGATTAGAGATTTACATTTCTGCAGCTGCTGTACGTGCAGTAATCAAATACTTGCCATATATATATATATATATATATATATATAGTCAAATAACTTTTGCAGCCGCTTTACGTACAACAACGACAGGTGTATGTTTATGATTTCCCACATTTAATGCTTTCATCCTTTCTATTATTATGATTCCCCGCATTTAATACTTTCAAGTATATATATGGCAAGTATTTGATTGTTGCACGTACAACAGCTGCAGAAATATAAATCCATATATATATATAGACACACATACATATTTAATGGCATCGTCTTCAATTTGTATATGTATCTGATCTCAATTGGAGACAACAATATATGTGCTCTATTAAATAATAATTTTTTTTTCAGTTTTCTTACTTATTTTATATGTATTGTATATATGATTAGGTAAATATTTTAAAGTGGATTGTAAATTTTCCAATCGAAGCCAATTTTTAGCTCTATTTCAAGGTGTGCGATATCATTTGTAAGATTTTACATGTCATGGTAATGACTCTTAAAATGCAAATGAATTGTTCAATTTTCGTCATGCATCATTCAGAAATGTAATTGAAAGGATATTTGGCATTTTTAAATCAGGAGTCACAATTTTTAAGTTAGCACCTCCATTTCCATTTAAAACACAAGTCTTAGCATGTGTAGCACTAGACAACTTTCTTCGCAAAGAATATCGTTCAGATGAATTCCAATTGAATCAATGGATGACATCTTCATTTTCAGTGTCACCAGTTAATGAAGAAGCTAATTTTCAACCATTGGTCAAACTCAAGAGCAAGAACGAGAAGATGCTAATGCGTAAAAGACTAGTATAGTTTTAGATATGTGGAAAGTTGTTGCTTAGTAATTTTGAATGTTTGTTAAAAATTATATTATGTTTTACTGATTGAGAAAATTATATTAGGTTTTACTTTTTTTATTAATATCATTGCATTTCTTATTTTTTTTATTGACTCTTGTAATTTTGAATTTTTGTTAAAAATTTATATGGGTTTTTAAAATCTTATAAATTCATATTGTCCTTTCAAATCTTATAAATTCTATTAAAATCCTTTAAAATTCAATCTTATGAAATCTTGATTGTAAAAAAGATTTTTAAAAAAGTCTTTAAAGTCCTTCCAATTCTAAATAGTCTTTTAAAATCTATAAGATTTTTTATCTTAATTTTTTTTTTTTTAAAATCCTAATCCAATATACTCCCCTTAGTATTTGGACTGAACTTGTTAGAGGTTTGATTTCCGAGTCAACTGGTTGGACCAACTGATCCCATCAAGTTTTAACAATATTAAAAAAATATAAATTTAGAATAACTTCTTTATTAACTATAATTTTATATGTTTATAAAAAGTTTATATAATATAACAAAAACAAACACTCAAGCTAAATTATGGTAAAGCAAATTTTTTATTTTACTTTTGCTTTTATATCAAAATAAAATAAAATACAACCATGCCCATTATGTATGAAAATATTTTAGTGTTTTTATAATATTAAAAATTCATTGCATCTTTATTAAAATTGAAAAAAATAATTCAGTAATTGTATTTATTATTTTGGTAACATTAAAAATATTCTCACTATCCTCAAAGTAGTTAAGGGTCTTCCATAATCCTAGTAAGATATCGGTGTTTAACTCCACTAAAACTTTTATAGTAAAATAAAAAATAAAAAAAATCCTCACTATATTCCTCTCTTTATGTTTGGCGGTTTTTTTTGTTTAATTGTTTAACTTTCTTTTCCTGTCTTCTATATTGACGGAAATTTTACATTTGCGGAAATGATATGACATATTTCTGTATATAGATACTTCGCATATGGTATACCGTATACGTGAGCCCTTTGATGTAGAAAAATAAAAAAGGTCAATGATTATGATGAGATATTGTAAAGTATACGAATAACTTTATTTGTGTATACAACATTATTGTTATATTTACGGTGTTTAAGTTTATAAAAATTTTATATTGAATTATATTACTTCATAATATTTGGATTTTGACTTAACACGTTCCAATCATAAAACTATGAATTTTATTAATCTCATTTAACATAAGATAGTTATCTTATGTTGTAAAAAGAAAACATGTGAATTCCACTATTACAAAAAGAAAAAAAGGAAAAAAAAGAAAAAGATGGGGTACGAAAATCGAAGTGAGAGAACATGAGAAAAGATATCTTATATAAAAGAAAAGTAATATTTCTCTAAACTATACAGAGAATGATAATGAATTGTTAAAACTAAAAAAGAAACCTATATATAGAGTTATAAATAAATTACTTATAGGTATGAAATCTCTTAAGAAGACAAAAAGAAAAATATCATTACTAACCATTTTTCAAGATCTTGAGAAAAGAATTTATGAAATTGTTCTCACTTGATAGCTGATATATTTATAACACTTGTTCCGTTTTAAAACATCTGTCATTTAAAAAATTATTTTAATTTTTTATTACTTTTAATTTTGTTAATATATTCATTAGAATCTCTCTCTCTTTCTTTTTTTTGGTACGCCCAAGAATTTCTTATTTACTTTGACTTCATTATACTATTTCAACTAAAATATACTACTTTTTTTTTTTTTGGTAAACAAAATATACCACTTTATATATAAGGTACATTATATTATTTTCGTAAACATTATAATAGAATTTAAAGCGTTGAATGTGTTATTTTCGAATTCGTAATTTGCTTTACTTAAGGGTTGGTAATATTTTCCACACTGTCAAAAAAATGTCCTAGTTTGCAATTTCACACCGAAAAGGCAAAAACAGAAATTTACTGCAATTCTTTCGCGGTATGCTTTATCCGCACGGTCCAAATTAAGCAATATTGACGGTGCGAGCCAAACAACGACAAACATTTCGTAAAAACCGGGGCCTGAAAATAAATAAAGTAAAATAAAGGGATAAAAACATAAATAACCACAAAACCGAATCTGCGTCAGCAATGTGGACTCTGACCGATGTGGTGACACTAACAACCAATGACTGAGGAGGCAGTTGGTGAAGCTAGCTTAAAAGAAACTCTCGTCTGAAACAACTTTGAATCTTTGACATCGAAACCAGGTACCTGTTTCAGCTAACACTGCATCACTTGGTGGTGGTGCTCTTGAACTTGTTCCTTCCTTGCATGTGTTATGGATCATCCTTTTTTTGTTTTCTTGATTGTTTTGATCCATGTGCATGGGTAATCTCTTCTTGGATGTTCCTGCTTTTTTGCTTTGATTATTGGGTTAGCCTCTTTCTTTCTTTTCTTGTTCCACTTTCACTTTGTGTTTTCAGCTTTCAAGTTTGTTCTGTATGTACTTTGGCAAACTTGTGAAAGACTTTTCTTATTCATCTCACAACTAGCTCTCTTTTTTTTCTTTTTCTTTTCTGGGTTAATTTTACAAATGATTATTAGAAGGGTTGTTTTTTTTTCTTTGGGTTGTAATTTAGATTTGGTACACCATTCAATAAGGTATTTGTGTTTGGTAGGAATTGATGACAGTTAGTTTGATGTCCCAATTTGATGATGTTTCTCTGTTCTGGGGAATTAGTGTCATCCCTAATGCTTTCTGGGAACTTATAATCATCCTGTTTATTTTAATAAATGAAATCATTTTAGGTTATTTGCTTACTTCTTATTATTTGATACCAGATAGTAGATCACACCAATATATTGCAAAGTAGTTCTAGTGCTTTGGTGCTGCTAGAGAATGGGAACAAGTGAATGGCATATTGAACGAAGATCTAGCTTTGATACTGAATACCCCCTAGCAGGAAATGCACCTGAAACTGGATCACTCTCTGTTGTTGTGCTTGGTGCTTCTGGTGATCTTGCCAAGAAGAAGACATTTCCTGCACTTTTCAACCTATATCGGCAGGTTTGATGGCCTCCAATATATGTAACAATAAAGCAAAATCTTTGTGGATCATGCTAATTAGTGTGATATTGAACTGATGTGAAAAAAATGTATATAGATGTAGATCATCATTGAACTAATGATGGACTAAAGAAAATCCTTATCTGGATTTCTCTCGGAATGTTGTGATTATGATCAAGCACTGGTTCAATTTTATTTTATTTTTTTTAAGAAAAAATTTCTATTCATATATGTTCTACATGCTAATTTGACATTAAATGTCTATTCCTAATTCGTCCTTTTTGGGGAAGATTTCCTGCAAAATTTTCTAATAATTGTTTGTTTCCCTTAAAGGAACTATTTCTAACTTTGGATGTCTTTATTTGCAGGGATTCTTACCACCAGATGAAGTTCATATTTTTGGTTATGCAAGGACAAAAATCTCTGATGATGAATTGAGAAACCGATTGCGTGGGTGAGACTTCTTTTTTTTTTAAAAAAAAGAAAAAGAAAAAGAAAAATCCTATTCTATTTTCCCAAGATTTCTGAATTAAGTAAAAAAAAAATTCCTACAGATATCACTGACAACCTGCTATTCCAGAAATTTTTCATGTAAGTTATATGTAAATAGAATGTGTTTACAATTACAATTAAGTGAATTGAATTACATAAATAGTTAATGCAACATATTTTGTGGATCCTTATTTCCTTTTAGCCAAAAAAAATTTACTGTGAAGTTTGTTCTGTGAACAGTATGTCAGGAATTTTTGTTTGCTGCTTCTTTCACAAAATTGTTCTGTAGTAGGCTTCATCGTATCCTATTAGTTCATGTATTTCATTGTCGTGTTTGAACTGTTTATAAGCATAACAAATATGATTTGATGTGCAGCTATCTTGTTCCAGACAAAGGTGCTTCCCCCAAGCAGTTGGAGGATGTATCGGAGTTTTTACAACTGGTTAGCATTGGCTGTCTTGCACCATTTTATATATATATTATTTAATGGTCTCACAACAAAATACCCTTCTGATTGTCTAAAATGATCATTCTCTGTCTTCCTTTCTCTTCCTTTTAGATCACATATGTAAGTGGCTCTTATGATTCTGAGGATGGCTTTCGCTTGTTGGATAAAGAGATTCTAGAGCATGAATCTTTGAAAAACAGTGTAGAGGGTTCATCTCGGAGGCTTTTCTATCTTGCACTTCCCCCTTCAGTATATCCATCTGTTTCAAAGATGATCAAGACTTGTTGCATGAACAAATGTAAGTAATATAATCTGTTATTTCAAAAATTTACTTTTTTTGGATACAAATGTTTTAAAAGGACCAGTAGTTTTTTGTCTTTTTTGGGGGGGAGGGAAAGATTAGGAACTGTGTGCCGTAACTTAACAACTGCAGAGAGTAATGCTTAGTCAGGCATTAGTCTAGGTTGCATTTCAGAATCCACTTTAAGCTCTTCTCATTTCCTTTTACTAAAATGTAGGTTCTTTGTTTACTTTCTTCAAGATTTTTTACCTGATAATGCTGGACTAAATTGAGGTTACCGCTTAGACATATTGCTGCTTCCAGTTGTTGATATTAGATTTTGGCTTCACATGATAATTACAGGTGGTTGTGTTATATTTTTGGTGTTTAAAATAAAAAGAAATAATTATGAAATAAACTTGAATTTATGTTCGATAGCTAGCATCAGCACAACAGATCTTATGACTTGAAGTTTCTCCGCTGTCTCTTTTCTTCTAACAACTTATATTACAACATTTTGTGAAAATCATCCTTTACTAATTCCTTTTACATTTAATGGTTCTTGTATATTATCCAGAACATCTAATATTGTTTCTATTGATGGCTGCATTTGTTTCCTTTTCTTAGCTGATCTTGGTGGATGGACACGTGTTGTTGTTGAGAAACCTTTTGGTAAGGATCTAGAATCTGCAGAAGAACTCAGTAATCAGATTGGAGAGTTGTTTGAGGAACCACAGATTTATCGTATTGATCACTACCTGGGAAAGGAACTAGTGCAGAACTTGGTACTAAATATTATATAATGGCTTACTACTATATATCTCAACAGCTTGTTTGCTTCATGAATTCTACCTAACCCTTGTTCGTTTGACTTGTATTGACAGTTAGTACTTCGTTTTGCAAATCGGTTTTTCTTGCCTCTTTGGAACCGCGATAACATTGCTAATGTGCAGGTGAGAATTTTTGAATTATAACTTTGGGCTAAGAGTTACTTAAACTTCAGTTATACTGTTGAAGTTAGGGGAGGTACTATTATTTGAGCATTGACGATTCATAGTTTTTACTGTCATATCTGTCAACTTTTACCTTAATTGTCGTTTGTTGTCATGCCTAATCCAGCTGCATTACCAAAGTTTATATGTCAAATTTAAACTTGAGTTTGGCTGTTGATTCTGTGGCAGATAGTTTTCAGAGAGGACTTTGGAACTGAAGGTCGTGGTGGATACTTTGACCAGTATGGGTATGTGTATAAAGTTGTTTTAGCAAAGTTCTCAAATGTCTGCTGATGCAAATAGTAGGTTCTGAAATGAAGTGGTATTGAGAAAATGAGTTTTTGTGTACCAATTTTACTTCTTTTGCTGATATTGAAAGTAAAACTTATAATTTTCATTCCTAAGTATCTGCCATTATTGAAAATTCATTATGTATTTTGTAATTTTTTTTAATAGAAGTAATATTATCTATTATTATGATTAGAAAACCATAAATCCTTAATGTACTGCTTTTTATTTGGCAGAATCATTCGAGATATTATTCAAAACCATCTGCTGCAGGTTAGGCCTTGATTTTATAATGAAATTGATGTCATATATTTGGACATTGTAATTATTATTTTGTATTGTCAAGATTACTTGAATTCACGTCCCTCTGAAGTTGAAATCTTATTAAGGGTGTGTTTGATAGAACTAAAATATTTAGCACAAAAACTTCATTGCTAAGTTTTCAGTGCTGAAATTAAGCATTGTATTAGCAATGTTTGAAAATAAAATCATTGACTTCTGAAGGGGCTTTAGAGGAAACTATTATTAGTATTTTAATAAAATAAATAAGGATACACTAAAGGAAACTACTCTAATTAGTAGATTTAAGTAAGGAAAGCCTTGTTACTGAATGCATTTGGTGACCTCCCATGTGCTGAATACTTTATCACTTAAAATTCATTTTTAGTATGTATTTAACAAACACCAAATGCATAATGTTACCTATTCAATAACCCGTTATGACTTTATAGTCTATCAGTCATTTATCCTCCTAATGCCTTGATGCATAATTTGTTTTCATTATTTTCTACCAACTCAGGTTTTTTGTTTGGTTGCAATGGAAAAACCAGTTTCTCTTAAGCCTGAGCACATTCGGGATGAGAAAGTGAAGGTGTGCCTCTTTCCATTCAAATTATGTGGAAATTATTATTTTCTCCTGTCATTTTATTCTGCCTCTCTAATCCTGATACAAAGCAATCAATATCAGTACCAACTCCTTGCACTTCTTTTAAATTTGATTTTGCATGCTTGCAACTGCATCGAAGGGGGATACTTTTATAACGCATACCTTGAAACTTCCAATATTGCACTTTTTATGTTTACCTAGTTTTTGAGAAGGGTCACAGCATGCCTCTGTAGACTAATAACACTTTATGGTTGCTATGAAAAATGCAGGTTCTTGAATCAGTACTCCCTATTAGAGATGATGAGGTTGTTCTTGGACAATACGAAGGCTATAGAGATGACCCAACTGTACCTGACCATTCAAATACTCCAACTTTTGCGACTGTTATTCTGAGAATACACAATGAAAGATGGGAAGGTATGATAAAATCTCCAGCATTTCCTTCCTAAAAGAAATATACTGAACCTTCCTTTAGTTTCTTTTGTGCTAAACAATTTGGAAAATAAAGTAGTCCTTTTTTTATTTTTATTTTTGTCAAAATTCTCTGTTGTGCATTTTACCAGTTTGTTTTATCTATCAGGTGTTCCTTTCATACTTAAAGCAGGGAAGGCCCTAAATTCTAGAAAGGCAGAGATACGGGTTCAATTCAAAGATGTTCCTGGTGATATTTTCAAATGTATGGCACTACACTTTTTGACATCTGGGTTTTCTCTCTTTAACATGATTTTGCTATGCATCTTTTGTCGTCTAATCTCTATATCAATCTTGAAAGTGAAAGTGGAGTCAGATATAATAAACACGTCATCACTGTGATAGATAAGATGATAGACACCCTGTAATTACTAGAGCCTATGAGGAGAAATAAATGGAAAGTTAGTGGATTAAAGACCCACATGAGCAAGAGAGGTGAGGTAAAAGAGAATGGAATAAACTCCTCTAAAGTGAGTTTGTCTATATAGTGAACAAGTAAAGATATATCCAACCCTTAATTTTTTAGTGGTTTAACGTTGCGATAATGCGATGTACTTTAAGTTAAACCAAGGGTAGATATATCCTTACTTGTTCATTTTAGAGGAGCCTTGTCCAAAGAAAATATGCATAGGGGATTTTCTTGTGACTGCATAGACATGTGGCAGCACGGTAGAGGAAGTGGCGGTCGCATTCTATTAGAGCATAATGGGGATAAATGTGAGGAGAAAGTAGGGGAGAGGGATAGGCATGGATTGAGTAAGGTTTTGGGGCCTTTGGATAGGGAGGCTTGCAGACCCTCGAAGTCTACTTCTATTATTTCTCATTTCGTTTTCTTTTCTAGTTTTCTCTATAATGTGAAGACGATGTAGGGATACACTTGTGTACAGAAGCTTCTCCTGGAACTGACACCATATCTGTCTCAGCACAGAGAAGAATTTCCAGAGTTTTTCAATAAAACACTGCATTTTGTGGCTCCTATCATAAGTTTTGCATTCTGGTGTCTTTGTCTATTGTTCGTATTGCAAAAATTATTTCTTGTTCCTTCTATTTGAAGTACTAAGCACTAATAGAAACATTTTCTATTGATGAGTATTGCAAGAATCACTCATAAAAATATCTCATACTCAAAAATTATTATATTACAGTAGAAAGTAAAAAAAAAAGAAGAAGTTGAGCTGTGAGTCATGTTATCTCTATAATCCACTATCACAAGGGAGACAAACAGAGGAATCTGTTCTTTATTTATTGGCACAGTATGAATGCCCGTACAATTAATATCAATATTAGCTAGCCTATGCATATTTTTCATTGTCTTCATAGCAGATGCCTCAGTTTCGTCAAAATATCAATTTATGCATAAACCTTACTTTTAACTTATTCATGTTTAGGTAAAAGGCAGGGGAGAAATGAGTTTGTTATCCGCCTACAGCCTTTAGAAGCTATGTACATGAAGCTTACGGTATGCCAATCATTCTGATGACCCATACTGAGAACAATCATGCCGCTTATTTAACCAAATTACCACTTACAGTTTTCTATATATGTTATATGCATTTATTGAGTATCTGAAGTAGCAATGAATAAAGGAATTTGCTATATATATATAGAAAATTCCTTTATTCATTGCTACTTATATATATATATAGAGAGAGAAAAACTACTCTTATGCTACATGTGATAACTTTCTCTCCTACACACCCTTCAATAACTGTGCCACTTTTTCTTTTTATTTTTCAGATGATGGAGCCCATAAATTTATCTCTATGACATGAGATAACTTATTTCATTTAACATGAGATTAATAAAACCCATATATATATATGGAAAAAATATTTCTCAAACTGCTTGAGATAAGTTTATCTCCGGTCACCCCCAAAACTACGTCGTTTTAATTATTTATTTCCTTATAATTATTGATTAACCTTTGAATTGTTATGATTCCTTTTTTTTCTCTCTCTTCTTTTATTACCATTGATCCATCTTTGTACGGTTATGATTTAGTAGCCGGAGATAAAGTTATCTCCGGTAGCTTGAGAAATGATAAGCCGTATATATATATATATATATATATATATATATATATATATATATATATATATATATATATATATATATATATATATGAACTAAGATATTCTTACTACCAATTTTTCTACTACCACTCTAATCACCATTGGATTAGAGTGGTAGTAGAAAAATTGATAGTAAGAATATCCTACCTATTTTTTCTAATACCACCCAATTACCACTCTAATTACCATTGGATTCAAAAATTGTTTTTCTTTTCTCATTCTTCTTTCAACTTTTCCTCTAATCCAATAGTGATTAGAGTGGTAGTAGAAAAAATTGATAGTAAGAATATCTTACCCCCCTCTCTCTATATATATATATATATATATATATATATATTTCCCAATACATTGTTTCGAATCAATTTTCTTGAAATGTAAATGGAAAATTTGCTAGTTAAACGTGGTTAACATCTGAAAACACTGTATCTCCATCTGATGCTTGTCTTCTTCTGATGATTGGGCTAAATCTATTTGCCAAACTACTGAAGAAGTTCACCCATCTGTTGCAAATACCATGTGAAAGAAAATCATGATTGATTAGCAGAAATATTTTTTTTCAAGTGTTTGTGCTATTATTTAATAATCTTTTTAAGTGGGTTTGGAAACAATTATATATTTGATTATACAAATGGTATTCAGACTTGAGTTTCTGCAAATTATTCTTGCTAGAGGTTTGTAATGGAATTACGGCTAGTGAAATTCTTTAAGCTATCTACATAGAATGCTAAAACTAATTAATTATATTTCTAGAGTGCACTGACTAGTTCAATGTTTTGTCATGAAGGTCAAGCAGCCTGGACTGGAAATGCACACAGTTCAAAGCGAACTAGACTTGTCATATGGGCAACGGTATAATGGGGTAACCATTCCGGAGGCTTATGAGCGTCTAATTCTCGACACGTACGTTCCTTTTCCGAGTTCATATCTATGGCTAGTCAATTGTCAATGGTTTATAGGAGTTACACAGATGTATAAGACTTATGTTACAAAGGACTCGGGTTCATAATTGACTCTATAAGGGACAATAACTATAGAATAAATTTTGTAATACTTACTATTTATTATTTTAAATTATTACACATGTTGTCACGTATAGGGTCAATCATATACTCAAGTCCACATAAACATTGAGTTGATGTATAAAAGTCCACCAAGCTGAAATGAAAAGAAGAATTAGGATTGCATGCATTACTTAGCAATCAGTTGAGTTCTCTGAAAGGGATAAATTTTGTAGTAAATAACAATGGGAATTGGAATATGTTCTGCAGAATTAGAGGTGATCAGCAACATTTTGTCCGCAGGGATGAGTTGAAGGTAAGAAGATCATTACATGCTTGATAGATTATAGCAACAGGGTCTTTCTTGACAAACTTTAATGGCTATGTATTTTTGTGTATTATAGGCATCCTGGGAGATCTTCACCCCACTTCTGCACAGAATTGATGAAGGGGAGTTCAAGCCAATGCCTTACCGACCAGGAAGCAGAGGTCCTGAAGAAGCAGATCAGTTACTGGAAAAAGCTGGCTATGTTCAAACACACGGTTATATATGGATCCCTCCTACCTTGTAGAATGATCAAATGTAATAACACGAGGATTTTTAGTTGCTTATAATGCGCAATAAGCTTGAGGAGTTTCCCTTAGAACAGGACTCTCTCCTTATGGGTGTGTATCAAACATCTGAACATGCGAGTGTTTGACAAAGTTTGAGTAGCATGCATTTGCCTCTGAATGCAAAATAAATGGAAAATGAAGTTCTTCTATTGATATTTGTCATGCATCATCCAATAATTCGAGACTCTAAAGCATAGTTATTAAAACCGGACGGACCGGCTCGGTCGACTCGGGAACCGGTAAACCGGTTATATAACCGGTCCGATTGAAGTAATAGACCGGCCATGCATCAGAACCGGTGCGATCCGGTCCGACCCGGCCGATTTTCATGAAAACCGATGACCCGGTTGGTTAACCGGCGACCCGGCCCAGTCCTAAAAAAATATATGTATATTCCAAATGATTTTTTTCAAAAAAAAAATCATAATGGACATATTTGAATAATTTTTTGCTTATTGACTTACATAAGTTATGTACCTACAACACTAATATTATCTCAATTGTGCATTATGCAGAAAATTTTGATTTGATTTATAGTTAGAGATGTCACTTTCTGAATTTAAAATTCCGTATCACGATCATTATATTTTTATTTGATCCTTTATTGGATAATAATATGTGATTAATTATTTTTTATATTAAAATATATGAAATTTTTATTATTATTTTTAGATATTTGAGTATATTTATAATTTTTTAATATAAATTATAAAATTATATATAATTACCGGGTCATGCGGTTAAACTAGTGACTCACTGATTGAATCAGTGACCCACTGACCCAATACATCAACCGAGTTAATGACCGAGCTGGTTTTAACATCGTAATTTGATTGGACCATATTGAGACTCGAAGGCCTGAACTTGGGGCTAAAGCTACCCGGTCCTGCCCTTTGTCAAAACAAATAAAATACGATCAAGTGAGTATGCTAAAGGACAAGAAGGCTAGGCGCCTTGCCCTCATTGGTTGGGAAAATAACCATAAATCATTACTACTGATGAGGTTGATTCCAAGGCCCTAGTAAAATGCTAGGACCGAACAAGCACACACATAATCACAAATCAAAAAGAAAGAAATGTAAGAAAAGTGGAGATATAGATTTACCTTGGTTTATGCAATGTGGATTATATTCATTAATATGCACTGTATTCTAACACCCGTTACACTCTGTTGGCTAATATATTAACAACTCTCAATATGAAATCTTGAAATTTTGTAATAAACATAAGATTGGTTACTAGTTTACACAAGTTTTTAATAAGTAAATTTTAATGCAAAATTTATTAAGTAAATGAATGAATTAGCATGAGAATTAATGTGACAATACAATTCATGTTAAGTAAAGTAAATTAGACCCAAATGGGAATATTAATTAAGTTTATGGGTCAAAGAATAAATAGGTGAAAGTTTAGGGACTAAAGTGCAAATAAATAAAGTAATGGCCTAAACTTTAAATTGGTTGTGTAATTAAATTCTCCATGGATTTTTAAAGACTAAAAGTGGTCTTAGATTTTTCTAATGATGGTTAGATAAAATTTTAAAATTAGGTCAAAGTTTGATTAAATATAGGTCAAAGGTGTGTGAAATTACATGTAAAGTTAATATAATTAAGTGAAATTGATTAGTTTGATAATCTAGTCATATTTTCAACTCAATGATGGATTGAATGTTTATTATTAGTCCATTATAAATCTGAAGATATATGTTTTATAAGGTACTAATTATGATTAATTAAAAAGAAAGTTAGTAAACAACTAACTAAGATAATTGGTTGAATTATTTCCATGTGTGATTTAATTCTTCTCCTTGATACATGTCACGCCTCATTCTCTTTTCCTTCATCCATGTGGGCTGAACCATGTTGAAAAGATTATAAAAAGAACCAATGAGAATTGATTGTGTGTTAGTTGAAAAAGTCCAAAATTGTAGGCTACCGATAAAGTAAGCTATCAAATGATTTTGCATGGTCTCTTATGTGTCAAAACCGGTTGTGTATCTTTGTAGCCTACTGATAAGGGTTTGTTTGGAAGTTTGGGGGAGAAAAAATGTAAGGGGAAGGGAGAGGAAGGAAGAGAAGGTAATTGAAGGATATTTTCTTTTTTTGTTTGGGAGTAAAAAAAATAGTAAAGGAAAAAATAGAGGGATAAAGAGATATTTTTACTTTTTTACCCCATTTTTTAAATTAATATACTTATTATATTTTAAAAATTAAATTAAATTTAAAATTTTTAATAAAATTATTTATGTACTTTTCAAAATACTAAAAAAAATTATATAATCGACGAAAGTTCTACTTTGCAAACGATGAAAATTTCGTCATAAAATTATTTTTTCGTTGGAATAATTTTCGTCGAAAAGCGAACGAATTTTTTCTACGATGAAAATTTTTACAAAAAAAAAATTTCTATCAAAATTTTCGACGTAATTTAGTTTTTGTCAAAAAATTTGATGAAAATGATTTCTTCCATCAAATGTTTTAAACGAAAAAAGAATTCCGTAAAAAATTTTGACGAAATGATTTCCATCCAAAATTTTAATGGAAATGCTTTTTGACAAAAAAATTTGACAGAAATTGTTTTATCAAAAAATTTGACAGAAATTGTTTTATCAAAAATTTTGAGAGAAATGTTTCATTCGAAACTTTCGACGAAATTTATATTCTGTAAATAATTTTGACAGAATATTTTTTTCGTCAAAATTTTTCATCGAAATATTTTTCATCAAAATTTTTTGATAGAAATATGTTCTGTTGAAATTTTTCATGGAAATATTTTTTATCAAAAAACTTGACATAAATATTTTCCGTCGAAAATTTTCAATGGAAATGTGTTTCGTTAAAAATTTTGACATAAATTTATTTTGTCAAAAAGTTTAACTAAAATGTTTCCGTCCAAAACTTTTGACGAAATTTAAATTCTGTAAAGAACTTTGATGAAATTTTTTTCCGTCAAAAATTTTCGATGGAAATGTGTTGCATTGAAAATTTTGATGGAAATATTTTTCGTCAAAAATTTCGATGAATATGTTTTTTTTGTGAGATATTTTGAGGGAAATGTTTTGACGAAATTTAGATTCCATAAAGAATTTTGACAAAAAAAGTTTTTCAACAAAATATTTTACATAAATATTTTTAGTCACAAATTTTGATGGAAATATTTTTCGTAAAAAATTTGGACGTAATTGTTTTATGTCTAAACTTTTAGATGGAAATGTGTTTCGTCAAAATTTTGGACAGAAATATTTTCGTGGTATTACTTGGCTGTTTGATTGATGCTTGGACACACAAGGTAAGTGTTTGGTGGTATTACCTAATGTGACTATTAGCTAGCGTATAGAATTGTGAATTGTTGCTCACGTGTGCTTTGGATTAATGTGTTGTCATATGCTATATGTATGCTGCCTATGAATGTGACAAGATGGAAAATCATGAATGAGAAGTAATTGTTATGTGGCAGCTTGGTACGAAAAGTACATGAAAGATATGCTATTATGATGATGATCAAGTCATGCATATACACCTCATAATTCATTTGTTTCTTGTTTGTGTGTGAAGCATATCATGACATACATGCACGAATTTCATGTTGTTCATGGATTAGAATATTTATATAAATATGCATACGTTGGAGCACGCATCATATAGGCATCCCTCCGGTACCAGGGTATGGGACACTTGGCTTCAGTTCGCATAGGCTACAGTTGGAATTCACCTTTGATGGGAGCCATTATGGAATATTCACTGTGTATGTTAGTACGCGCACGACGGTGCTATGAGCGTAATGATGGCGTTATATCCGCACTATGATATGTTAAGTACGCGCACGATGGTGCTATGAGCGTAATGATGGCGTTATATACGCACTATGATATGTTAATACATCTCTGGAAAATGAAATGTTGATGTGACTGTTTATAATTTTGTGCCTAGTTTAATATTGTTCTATTATTGGTTTTGCTATCACACTACTGGGATTTTTCTCACCCCTTTGGGGCTGCAATTTTTATAAAAATTGCAGGAGGACGAAAGAGCATATGAGGACGTGGTTATATGGATATTGGTTGTTAATTGCTACTGTTTGGATTTTTGTTGTTACTGTTTGCTTGACGGATGACTGTATTATTTTGGAAAATTTAGATTACTGTGGAACTATGACTTAGCTACTGTTTTAAGACTTTTATGATCAGTTATTACTTTGGAAAAATTCTGAAAACGATTTGCGAAAATAATTTCTGAACGTTTTATTAAGTGCTGATTTATGAACAGTTTTGCGAGCACTTTGCGAGTTAAGTTTCAAGGGGCAAACGACCACCGATTTACTAATAATTTATATGCACGCGAAGCCCCAGATGTACTCTTTCTATATAACAAGGAATATTCTTTTGAATCGTTGAACTTGATTTTATACGAATTTTACAAGACCGCAAGGTCTGTCAGAAAAGTTAGGAAATTCAGCAAGCTGTGTATTTGATTTTTATGAACAACCAGATATCGACTCAAGTTTTTAATTAGCAACAGAGAAATGATTTTTCAGTATTTAAGTAATGACATTAGAACTCTAATCCGCTTAGCAAACAACTCTCTTGGATGCATACAAGGGAGGGTATTACAATTTTTATCGAAATATTTTTCGTCAAAATTTTTTACAAATTTGTCAAAAAATTGTGACAGAAATGTGTTTCGTTAAAAATTTGACGGAAATTTTTTTGTCAAAAAGTTTAACGAAAATGTTTCCATCGAAAACTTTTGACGAAATTTGAATTCTATAAGAATTTTGATGAAATTTTTTTTCTTCACAAATTTTTGATGGAAATATTTTTCGTCAAAAATTTCGAAGAATATTTTTTTTGTGAAATATTTTGACGTAATTTAGATTTCGTAAAAAATTTTGTCAAAAAAAAATTTTCGTCAAAACTTTTTACTAAAATGTTTTTAGTCAAAAAATTTGATGGAAATGTTTTCTGTAAAAAAATTTGATGGAAATGTTTTCTGTGAAAAAATTTGACGTAATTATTTGACGTCGAAACTTTTTAATGGAAATGTGTTTCGTCAAATATTTGGACGAAATTTTTTTTTTTTGAAAGTTTAGACGGAATTTAGATTTTATCTACAATTTTGATTGAATTTT